AAAAAAAAAAAAAAAAAAAAAAAAAGGCGGGATTAGGATACTGGTCACACTATAACCTTTCAGCTAATTCCAGAATCCCCTGTCTTTTCAATGTTAGTTAAAATCTCTTCCTATGAATAGTTTCAAATAAAACCTTCTTAAGCCTGTTTTTAAAAAATGTTAATGTATGTGCATACATCTGTGCATACGTGTGCATATGTGTGCATGGAAGTGTGGAGGCCAGAAACATGTGTTGGGTGTCTTTCTCAATCTCTCCTTTAGTTTTTGAGACAGGGGCTCTCATTGAACCTGGAGTTTGCTAGACTGTCTGGCCAGGAAGCTCCAGAGATCCTCCTGTCTCCACCTCCCAGTGTTGGCATGATGGGTTTGCACCAAAGTTAGTCCCCAAACGAGTGCAGGGAGCACTTTCCTGAGCCAGTTCCCAGCCTTCAAAACCCTCCTTTTACTGTGTCCTCAGAGCATTTGTTCCTCTCATCCTTAACTTACACTTTGATTTTGCTGTCTCCTCCAAACACAGACCTTAGAATATATTTATACATTTTCCTTCAGTTTTGAAATTACCGTCAGTGGAAAACTTTAGTTTTGCTTTGCTGTGTTTCTTTCATTAACATATAAGTGATGTCATAGGCCATATTGTAGCATTTTTTTTGCATTTTCGTTTTTGTTTTTTGTTTTTTGGGTTTTTAAGACAGGGTTTCCTGTGTATCCCTGGCTGACCTGGAACTCGCTCTATTAATCACGCTGGCCTCAAACTCACAGAGATCTGCCTGCCTTTACCTCTGGAGTGCTGGGATTAAAGGTGTGCAGTACTACAACCCTGCTTTTTTTCTTCATTTGTAGTGAAAAAAAAAATGTTTTCCATACAAAAAAATTTTGATCATGATTTTCTATTTCCCAATTCCTCCCAGATCCTCCTCATCCAACTTCCTGTTCTCTCTCTCTCTCTCTCTCTCTCTCTCTCTCTCTCTCTCTCCAAAAAAGAATTTAAAAATGAAAAGAAAATAAGAAACACGGGGGCTGGAAGGATGGCTCAGAGGTTAAGAGCACTGCCTGCTCTTCCAAAGGTCCTGAGTTCAATTCCTGGCAACCACATGGTGGCTCACAACCATCTGTAATGGGATCTGGTACCCTCGTCTGGCCTCCAGGAATACACGCAGACAGAATATTGTATACATAATAAATAAATAAATATTAAAAAAAAAGAAAATAAGAAACACAAAAACCCACAAAAATGAAAATCAAAACAAATAAGCAAAAGGCTAATGAAATGCTAAAACAAAGAGCAATTAGATCAAAAGTCCATAAAAATACCATTAGGATTGTTGTATCCTGGGCATGGGGCCTGTCCTGAAATGTGGCATAGGGAGACTCCTTTGGAGAAAACCAGTTTTCTCTTTGCCAGAGTGCATTTACTGCAGATAGTGTCTTGGTTAAGGGTAGGATACCATGTTCACTTCTCAGTGCTGAGAACTTTCTGTCTCAACCCGGTCAGGCCTTGTACCAGTTGCCACAGTCGCTGTGAGTTCCTATGTGTTTTGCTCCTACTGCGTCTCCGCTGCCTGATGGTAGGCCCTGCTGCTGAAGACAACACTTATCTCACGGAGCATGAAGACTGCCTTACGTGCTTTGACATCTTCACAACCAAAATTACACGAGGAAGCGCCCCTGCATCCTCTTCCAGTCGACCTCATATCCTCAGTCTCCTTGGGCTTTCATTTGTGTTTGTAAGCGACACAGCAATACAACCAAGGGAAAGAGAAGAGGGAAGCAAACACAAGAGCTAGCATTTCACCTAAACCACTGCTGTCCCTTGGAGGCAGGGTCGTCTGTCTGTTTCACAGAGAAGATTGGCTTCAAGTCTGGTCTTAACTTCTTTTTCTGAGGCATCGTGGGGAAGCAGACGTCCTTGGTGGGTTTGTGCTGATGGTGAGTTTCCTGAGGGGGGAGAAAAGAGTAAAGGAGGAAGGAAGCTGAATCCTTGGAAGCTGACAAACTGAGCTGGCTTCCTAGACTAGATCACAATGGCGTACGGTAAAATGGTGTGCCCAGCCTAGCAGAGGGACAGGTGGGAACTCAGAAACCACAGTGAGAGGAGTGGAGACACTGGAGATTCGTTGTTAGGTAACGTTCCTAAAGCTTGGTCGGTTTCATGAGCAATCGGCTGAACTCCCTAGTTATGGGCTCCCGAAAGTGAATGGCCGAGGACGCTCCCTGGGTTTGGGGAAAGAGTTTATGCAGTCGCACTGTGTCTTGCTCTAAGTAACCGTGTGTTGTGTGAAACAGTAGCAGGGCTGTTCCTCGGCTGCATTTGGCTTCATTTTGAGGGCAGATGCAGAGGAGGAGGATTCTGTATTTCGTAGCACACATAGGAAGCATCTCCCATTCAGCACCAACCCCGAGGCACACTGGCAAGTAACTTACTCCTAAACTGATAGGTAAAGCCATATCAGAAAAACCCGAGACCGTACTGGACACACCAAACCAGTGGCTCACTCCTGAACTCCATAAAGAGGAAGTTACCTAATACTGTGCTGGCGGCAGCCCAGAGACCGGCCATGTGACCAGTGTGTGTGCCAAAGGACTGGCAAGTGGAGAACTCATGACTGCCCCTGAGGCTCCAGCTCAGCTTAGTCTCCACCTCTTGGCAAAGCTAACTTGATTTTTTTTGCCCATCCACCCATTCCTTCATCCATCCATCCAGACCCCATGTTCATGGCCCTGTGCCTCCGCAGCTCAGCTGGACCCTGCAGCACTGCTACTTGGCTCTGTGCTTCCGGGAGCTTTCCAGCTGGGTTCTTCTCCTCGTGGATTGCTAATCTGATCTAACCACTTGTGGTCATTCATTTGCATCTGCACTAACCCTGCCTCTGCCTCCAGTAAAGTCTCTGCAGCCCCTATGACCCTTCTCAAGCCATTCTGAAACCTTCATATCTGTAGCTGGATAAAGGGATAGACAGATTCACTGTGTGACGTGTAATGTGTACGAAACTGAGAGTTTTTTTTTTCATAGTTAAGATTGTAACGAAATGATCTGTGTTTGCCGGCAGCCAGCTATCGAGGGAAATCAGGACCGCTTGGCAAATTGCAGCCAACCAAAGAAAGCAAAGTTGCCTGTGAGTTTATTGCTATTCAATGAATTCTGACATTGGGTAAGGACACAGATGTGTCTGTCTGTGTTTCTGACACAGCACACTTAGACCCCATCCATGAATTGCTTGGGAGACCAAATATTTGGGAGTAAATTGGGAAACAGGCCCATGGACCACTACCTTCCTTCCTTAGAGATGGCTGCCTTATCTACTACATTCCTACATTCTTTTCTCTCCTGTGCAAAGGCCATAGAATGAAAGGTCTTATGAGGTAATAATTTTACCATTCCTAAAGGTCACATAATCAAAAACTTTCAGATTCTTAAAAGTCATTCAGCGTGACTGTCTGGCACTCGTATCCCATCCATAATCTCCCTGCCAAGTGATCCCGTTGTCCGACACCTCAGCAGGTAAAGGCACTTGCTGTACAAGCCTGGAGACCTGAGTTCCAACCCCAGAGCTAAATCCACAGAGTTGGCTTCTGATTCCCACAGATGATCTAATATAAGCATGCCTGTCCTGCCTCCTCCTCATGTAACACACACGCTAATCATCGTGACAATGATGTTAGTAATAAGCTTCCTCTTCAGTCAACCAATAGCCATCTCCTTGTAGCTTTCTCCGAAACAGTGCAAACAGAAGGAATCCAGTGCCTCTTGCATAGCATACTCAAAAATCGCGAGGACGTCCACCATGTTCCTCCCAGGCTCTGTTTCTCCCGAGAGAAGCATCGTCAGTAACTTGAACCATTCTTCACCTGACTCCATTTGAATTGCCTTATTCTCCTGATTTAGCTCACTAGAGAAAAATCAATGTTTTCCTAACGCGAGGCTATGTAAAAGGAGCCCCGTTTGCCGGGAGCTCTGCTGAGAACCTCCCTGAATCACAGTGTAGAGCTCCCCTCACATGGCTTTCCCTTTCCCTCATCTCCACAGCACCTGTCCCATTCTGTTGCCATCTGTGTGGTTGCTTCTTTGCCTGTGGTCTGCAGAGATAAGCCATTAGACTTATACTTCTGCAAAGCAAAGCCCCTGGTGGCTTATTTACCCTGGGACTCTTAGCCTTCATAGGGTCTGGCACATAGTAGAAGAGACGGAGTTACCAATTGACATATTGGACTCTTTCATCATTTTAAAATCTTTTTTAAAAAAAATAGTTGGGGTTGCCACTGAACGATTGCTTTTTCGTTCTGAATGCCTTCTCTTGAAGCTGGTCCACTTGGAAGACAACAAGATTCTCTGTAAGTTAATAGGTGACTTAATGAGACAGCAGAACCTAGAAACTAAGACACAGTTAATGACTCTGCCATTAAAAACAGCAGAACCTTTGCAGAATTGGACCTCAGAGCAAAACAAAAGGAAAAGAAAAGGGTGGTGAGACAGCTCGTTGGTAAAGGTAGATAAAGGGGCCATTGCCAAGCCTAAGGGTTTCATTTCCATCCCCACAATTTACAAGATGAAAAGAGAGAGCCTGCCCTGCCTGCCAGGTTGTCCTCTGACCTCCACATGCCACTCCTTCTCCTCTCAAAAGCAAAGGCTGGGCTGGAGAGATGGCTCAGAGGTTAAGGACACTGACTGTTCTTCCTGAGTTCAATTCCCAGCAACCACATGGTGGCTCACAACCATCTACAATGAGATATGGTGCCCTCTTCTGACATGGAGGCGGAACACTGTATTGTATATGTCACTGTATTGTATATGTAATGAATAAAATCTTTAAAAAAAAAAAAAGATGTGTGCCACCAATGCCCGGCCAGATTTAAAAAAAAAAAAAAGCAAAGGCTTTCTTCTTTTCATTTTTAAGATTTCAATGCAAATAAAATAAGCAGGAACTGAAAGTTATTTAGGATCCAAGATGGCACTAGTGGAGAGTTCCTGGTTGTCTTAACTATGACATATTAACATGTCCCTTCTGTCTTCCTGTCTGTTTCTTCTTCCTCCTCTTCCCCTCCCCTTCTCAAACTCTGTAACTTCTATAGCCCTTGTGTAGTCTACATATATACATATGTAGAGATAGATACAAGGGATACAACCTATATAATTATATCGATCTCTCTTCCTTCACTATAACTTCAAACAAACACATCTCTGGCCCTTGCACTACCCTTCCTCCCCTTGGTTTGATTTATGGCATCACTCTGTGTGCCCTTTCAAGTTCCATTCCCATTGCCTTAATCAGTTCATCTCCTAATACAGGTGCTTAAAAATGAAAATCTCTGATTAACTCGGGGATTTGGCGGTTAGTACGTTGATTGGTTTAATTTGGGTTTGTTTGGGTTTGGAAGCAACAGTCTGCACCATAGATAAGTTACCAGCCTAGGAATTTTGTTTCTGTGGCTCTTTTATCCATACCTGGTCCATACTAGGGGTAGAGAGAGTCATATTGTGCAAAACCAAGCTCCTTGGGCATTCTCATAGAAGACAGTGCTGGGGCCAGAGGCAATTAGAAGGGGCGGAGAGCAACAACGGTTGATGTGAGCGTTCATCTGCTTGCGTAATGGAAGCTGCACTGTGCCTGGACATAGTAAAGACTGCTTTTCTTGCGTGTAACCCTAGGTCTCAAAAAGCTGGGGAGGGACGTACAGCAGGAACAGAGCCACTGGAGACAGCATGCTCTCCAGTCTTCCGAGGCAGAGCCTTGACACGCCACTGATACAATTCCCCTAGGACTGCTTGTTGGTGAGCACAACCAGGCCTGCCCCTGACCTCGGGGTCTCAGGGGGGGGGGGGGGGGGGGGGGGGGGGCAGCTTTGGAAAGGAAGCTCGTTAAGCACTCAGGTTATGTGTCTGCTTTGTTCCCTTCTCTGTGCTAAAGAGAGCAACCCTGGCCCACCTTTGTCCCTTGCTCAGAAATACATTCCACCCAATACCACAATAAACACTGAAGTTACTGTCAAAGGGCACAACGGCTGAGACCCGAGGGACCACAGACAATGAACTCATGAGTTCTTTTTCAGCATACACCACTGCGTTTTGGCATCGCTCACTGCCACCCATGTAGTGGCTACAGAAGTCCTTACTCCCGGCTCACATTTTGCTATAAGGATGGGTCTCTTTGGGCTCTCCCGTTCCCAGACTTGCATCTCTGTTAGCTTCTTTCGTTTGTACTTTTACTTATTTAATTTCTTCCTGTTAGGCTGGGGCTGCTTTCCAGGCTGTCACCGTCTTTCTTAGCTCCCGAATCCCAAATACTCTTAAATCAATTGTCTTCACTTCCTCTGCTATTTTGAATTTAGTTCAAATTCTCGGTGCTGCTCATCTCGACTATTAAGGCCGCATCAGAAGTAATCTTTCTGACTTTTGTCTCCTCTGTAACTAATGCACCTCCTTCAGCCTGCAAATGCTCTTTCTAATACACAAACTTGATTACACCCTTTCATCTCCTGCCACTTTCTCTTTCAGCCCTCCATGAAAGTGCCTCCCTTTCGTATGTCTCCAAGCCTGCCCAAGTCCCTATTGGAACAGTCTCCTATTCTTTTGTAGTGAGTCACTTCCACAATTACTCCCTTCTCCCCAACATGGAGATTCTTCTGCAGTCTACATAATTTCTATATCTTAAGTATTCTTGGATTATTCACATATCCTGGTATAGCAGAATTGCTGTAATTTATGTATATCGTTTTTTGGCCTATTGGATTCCAAGGTTCTTCAAGACAGAATTTGTCCTATGATCATGCCATAGTCTTGCTCTAGCTTTTATTTTACTGAATATGTTCAGCAGTTATTTTTTCGTGTGTTGTTTTGTTTTGAGACAGCAGGGTTTTGCTATGTAGCCCATGTAGACTCACAGCTATTCTGGTTTCAGGGAATGTATGGCCAGGCACAAGAAGGAGGTAGGTAGTAGCATCTTGGTAACCCTTCTCTAGGTTAAATTGGCTTTCTCCATGTTTCCTCTAATCCCTGCCTCCCTCTGGTCCACACAGAGGCTGCCAGGAGACTTTCTTGGGCACCATTACCTTGAACTGAAACTCTGGGGGAAAGTATTTTGGAGCTCCTTCCTTTTCCTGCTGGCTGATAGAGCAGGGAGGTGGGTTGTTGGTCATGAGCAGTAAGGTCATATCCTGATCGTACTCTGTCACGTTTACCATGAAACTGTTGATTTTCTTCCTTTGAGCCAGGAATCTTTGCAGCTTAGTGGGCTTCAAAGGCTCATAGTATTTGGCCTGAGTAGAGAGAAAGGTTTCCAGACAGACAAAGGGATTAGATCAAGGGAGGACTAAGGCATCAGTTGGCCAATTTTGCCTCACTCTGCAGGGTAGGCTGAGAGGCTGAGGCAGGGCCTGAACCAACCTGCCTTTAACTTTGTTGATTTCAAACTTTTAGAAGCTCTCTATCACAGCCTTCCCTTAAAACTGCAAATAAACTAGGAACCTGGGGAAATGCACCAGAAGGGTTTCCATAGTAACAGAACAAGATGATTAAAGTCACACACACAAAAAAAAGATAGCATCTAGCCTTAGTCGCACAAATAGAAGTTGTTTGTGGCTCAGCCTGCTTGGCCTTTCTCCACCTGTCTCTGAGGTGGAGGGGCACCCCGGAAGCTCAGCTCAGCTCAGCTTTTCTCTTATTTCCACCAACATCTGTCTCCAGGCACGGGCATTATTAACAAGCTGTAGAGGGGTTAGAAGGCAAAGACAGTCACAAAGCACAGTGAGTCACTGCTGGTGTGCGCACCAGCACCACGTAGCTTGCTTTCTCTGAATAGGAAGACTAGAGCGGAGGGGAGGGAGGAAGCATGGGTTACACATATTTTCCCTGATCGAATTTTCTCTACTGAAGAATAAAATGAGCAGGGACCACTTCCTCCCTGAGTCTCTCCTCCCACCATGTATCCCCAAAACCGCTCCTAATTCCCCATCCTGGAAACCAGGGGGATATTTGGAGGTATTAGGGTTACTCTGTAGTTGGAGTTCTGGACCCGTTGCTGAAATTCACCCTCAGAGGTCTTGCAGGGATGCTTTGCCACCTACCATATTTGGATGGACTGTGTAGTGTCTGAGGTTTTTAAGGACAAATTTTGATTGCCCAGTTGTATCATATATCTGTAGACAAGAAACAGAATTAGTGATCTCAAGCCACACCTCTCCTCTCTGTCCCTCTCTCTCTGTGCACATGTGTGTGTTTGTATATGCGTGTGTGTATGTGTGTGTGTGTGCTGGTAGAGGCCAGACATCAGTTGTCTTTCTCCCCACCTTATATTCTGAGACAGTGTTTCTGAACCCCGAGCTTACTATATCAGCTAGACGGACTGGCAAGCAAGTCCCAGGAATCTTGTCTCTGGCCCTTCCCCCCAAATACTGGAGTTATGGGCCTACACTGCCACATTAAAAAAAAAATTCTTTCTTTTTTTTATTAAGACTAGGATTCATGCATCCCAAGCTAACTTCTGATCCTCCTGCCTCCACCTCTTAAGTGTGTATTCCAGGCTTCTGCCATCATGCCTGGTCTATCCGGTACTGGGGTAACCAAGGGCTTTGCCTATGCCAGGCAAGCAGTCTACCAGCCCTGACCTGGGGATTCAGCCTCAGGTCCTTCACACATGCATTGTGAACACTTTCCCACTGAGTGCTCTGCCTGTGCCCGAGTCACACCCACTAAACAGCATGACCTCATCTCGTTCTCACTGGAAGAGTCTTTTTCCAGACCCTAAATGAAGAGACCCTTTCGCCTATGTTGTATTCTGGGGGTTTTGTAACAAGGTCTACAGCCAGGAGAGCAGGATTCTTGAAATCCTGAGATTCGGGAAGAAGTTTGTAGACAGTAATGTGGACCTGCCGTTGGAAGCTAACTCAGTCCTGAAAAGTGCTTGCCACGTGAGCAAGAGATCCACAGCAACCTCATAAAAAGTCATGCGTCGTGACACATGGCTGGAATCCCAGCTCTGAGGAGGCAAATACAGGGAGAGCCCTGGCACTACTTGGCTGGTCAGCTTAGCCTGAGCAGCAAAGCCGGAAACGGGTGAAAGACTCGGTCTCAAAAAACAAGGTGAGGGGGTCCCAGGGAGCAAAATCTGAGGGTGACTTCTTGTCTTCATATGTGCATATACACACATGAACTATCGACTCCCATAGACCCTCACACACATGTACACACACGTACTCCCAACCCCCATAGACCCTCACACACAAGTACACACACACACATGTACCCTCAGCCCCCATAGACCCCCTCACACACATGTACACGCACACATACACACACACGCACACGTACATGTACCCTACATATGAGCACACGCCTACACATGCACAATGCCACATAGGCTGTAGAGTAGCAGACACGTGGAATCACACCTTTCCCCTTCCTTTTCCCTCAACTGATGCTGACCTTTAAGGAGAAAACCAGCTACAAAGGACAGCAACCTAAGCAGTGCCGACTCCAAGGGCCTCCAGAGGCAACTCTGCCAACTGAGCTGGGAACTGACTCCCCATAGAAGGGGAAAGAGAGAGCATTTTGCATTTCTGAATATCTCTGCAAAATACAATTCTTTTAAAGTTGTTGAAAAATAGCTAAATTTTGATGTCACTTCTCTGTGTAGTACGAAACGTCATTGCATTGGTAGAAGTGTTGCTATTCGGACCGTGAGTGCCCTGTCTGATAAAGGAAGGGCTCCTCCCCATGTGCTTAGCTGTGGGTTGTCTAAGTAGGAATGGAAAGAAGAACACAGGAGACGGAGACCATGAATTGCCACGTAGCACACTTAAAAATCAGAATACAAGCAGACAAGCATAATCCGAGGTTTGCATCATCTTTCGGAAGAGGCCATGCCCCCAAAGAGTTAAGGTGGGGTTCTGGGAAAAGGAGGCATGCACTGAAAAGCGAATGAAGCTGGAAGCAGATGGAGAAGAAGGAGACAGTAAGAATGGGGTAGAGCCATAGGCGGGAGGAATGCACCGTACTGCAGGAGGAAGCTGCCAGCTGCTGTGGTCCTTGGGTTAGATGAGGACTGAAGGAGCCCAGCCCCTTCTTTCAGAAAGGGCGAGGAGAAATATGGGACAAAACCCAAAGAGCTAATCATTTTGTTTTTAACTTTTGGAAAACTAACGTCTACTTGTTCAAAACGAAAGTTAAGGAAATCAAGTATATTGTGTGATATGAAGACCTTTTTCCCCCCTTAAAGTTTTTTTTTTAATTAATTTTAGGGGGAAAAGTCTGTGAGGAAAACATTTTAACTTCTGGACTTTTCTGAGAAATGGCACCTCTGCTCCAAATCAGCCTGTAGCAGTTGACTAAACCTAGCAATTGGAATATGTTTTTAATTTTGTCAAGTTGACTTACATTATCGCTGGCGAAATAAAAATTGGCTTCAAAAATTCACTTGAATATGATGATCTTGGGAAAGCAACCAAGACATCCAATGGAATTTTGCTATAAGCTGTGACCTTGAAACCCGTCTGCACTGCTGGAGGGAGTGTAAACCGTGCAGCCACCACGGAAGTTCATGTGGAAGTTTCTCAAAAGAATTAAAAACAGGGCCACTGCAGCTATACTACCCCAAATCAACAGACCACAGAGAGCTATGCACAACCATGCTTTCTGCTGTGCCATTCACGATCACTGAGGGGTGGAAACCAAGCCAGATGTCCAATGGATGAATAGATAAAGACAGTGTGGTCTATACACATAGTAGACTTCTTTAAAGAAGAATGAAATTATGGCAGTTTCAGGAAAAGGGATGGGAGCCCATTATGTTAAGTAAAACAAGCCATACTCAGAAGGGATAAATGCAGTTGTTTTTCTTTCACAAACAAAACTAGATTTAAATGAGTGCCTAAGGGGGGGGGGGGATGGAGAAAGAAACCATCAGTGGGAGGAAGAGATCTCAAGGTGGTGGGTGTTCTAGTTTCCTTTCCGTTGCTGCAATAAAAACACACTGATAAAAAGCAACTCGGGAGGAAAGGATTTATTGGGCTTATACTTCCCAGATGCAGTCCACTGTTGAGAGAAATGACCTGTAGCAGAAACCGTGAAAGGATTGCTGGCTCACTCCCAGGCTTATGCTTAGTTAGCTTTCTAGCCCAGACTGCTTACCCAGGGAATGGTGCTGCCCACAGCGGGCTAGGCCTTTCTACATCAATTAACAATCAAGAGAACCCCTGGCAGACGTGTCCACAGGCCAGTTTGACCTGGGTGAGTCCTCAGCTGAGACTCCCTTCTGGGTGACTCTGGGCTGTGTCGAGTTGACAGTAAAGCTAACTAGGATACTACTTGTAGAATATAGGTGACATGAACACAGAAGAGGGTACTGTTTCAGACGGAAGAAATGCATCAGCAAGAGGAAGAGACAGAACACGGAAGGGGAAGTGGCAGGAAGGGGACAAATAGAAATAAATTATACTGACATACATAAGACACATCCAGCGCCATATTGAAATTTATTACTTTGCTAGGCTTAGGGGCATAGGCTCGTGGTCTTGGTTACTCCAGAGCAGAAGGATCTTGAGTTCAAGGCTACCCTGGGCAACTTTGTGAGACCCCTGTAGTTAAAAAGTGGGTATGGAGATAGCTCTATGTGGAGTGATTGACTGGTAAGCATGAGGGGCTGGGTTTAGTCTCTGGTACTACAAAACAAGCAAACAAATACTTTATATGTTAACTTAAAAAATCAATCAAAAAGTGTTTATGTGCTGTGCGATAACCAATTATAAAAATAGCCTTGATGTCTATGTGAATTAGAATTTAATATGTCCTAAGGTAAGTTACTAGTTTTTAGGTTTTGTGTCCTGATGTGTTGCTTATATGTCCTTGTCCCCCTTAACTTCTCTGTTTCTTTTTCATAAAATAAAATAAACTAACCTCACTCTGGATACAAATGTTTGCTTCTCTTTGCTTTTACATGGGAAGTTTATAAAGCCCCTTGTAAGCAATCCCAAGGAAAATGGCATAGGACATATACTACTAACCCGGTTTTTCTTACCTCATCACCATCTGGACCTAATTTTTTCTCAAATTTAATAGCGACATTTGCCATAGGCTTTAATGCCCTGTTTTCTTGAAACCTGAAAAAAAGGATAGAATATCCAGTTGTGTTGCTGACTCAAGAATCCAAACTCTGTGCATGTCTCCAGTCTCCCTCTATTTAACTTGAGAGCGCATGAACTGAATAGAACTCATAGCCAGCTTGCATGCTGAGGAAAAACTTAAGGTTAAAGGGTTAAGCAAATACGGTCTTCTCCGAGATAGGCTGGCATCCAGTAAGCTAACTTTCTTTTAATAGGAGTTTTGGATCACTCAGAGAAGTTGCTTTAGAAGAATGCCCAAGGAAACTCCTGCAGACAACTAGACTACCCTACCTTAAAGACCCCCTACAGCAATTTTGAATACCTACCTACTCATCCTCCATATTGAAATGGCCCCGACTTTGCCAGGAAAGGCCAATTGGCCAGTCATGAAAAAAAAGAATATAGCTAGGGAATGTCACAACTCCATTTCTGATTCTTACTGGCTTGCTTGGATTAATGGTCAAATCATCTTCCTAACCACATCTAAAAATTTCTTTTCCTAGAACTAGGGTAGCAAAACCAGCCACCACTGGCAAACAGCTTGATGTACTATTGTTTCCTTTATTTTTCCATCTTCTGCTAGATACCAATTCCTTTTGAGGGAAAGGAGAAAGTTGCAATACCTAAGAAATTATTTTGGAGTCCTTGACTCTTCTCTTCCCATACTGGTGACTGAACCTAGGGACTTGCACTTGCTAAACAAGGCTCCACCACCCGAGTTACATCCCTAGTCCTCCAAGTTCAGGCAAAAGGGTTTAAAAATATTCCCAAGTCTAACGGAAAGATTCAAATAAGTTTATTTTGACTAACTTCTTAAAGCTTGTGATGTTTTGATGTATTCTCATTCTGTAAGTACACAACAATACTACTGTATCATTTTTAGTGCAGCAATTTTCAAAATGATTGTGTGTGTGTGTGTGTGTGTGTGTGTGTGTGTTTACAAAACAGCACAGACTCTCAGCCCCGGCCTTGAACTACCCTAAATGCTCTTCAACAGTGTAGCAGTTCCCATCCTGAACAGCCTGGTGCTTTCTTTTTGGAGAAAGTCCTTTTGTTGCCGCATGAAACACAGATCCAACTCTGTTTTGTTTTGTTTCGTTTTTCTGCAAACAGGCAGTCAAGTCAAACACATTTAGTCAAGGTCCTGCTCTGTGACTCATGCCATCTAGAGAGCTTTGAGTGACAAAATTAGTGGAGATTGGTGTTTATGGCTTAGATGAGTAAACAAGATTACGTACTTGGTATATTTCTTTGGGCCCATGGCTGTTCACTGAGAACTGGACCAACCTACAGCAAGAATTCACTGAGGTCTCAGTCAGCTTCTTTAAATGATTCACATTCTACGAGGATTCAAGTCAATAAAATTATTCTTTTCTTAGCACACATTGTGTAACCAGACCCAATCTTGATCCTGCGTGGGAAACAAGAAGACTAATAAATGGTTTTGTAGATATGGGAGCTGAATAAGCATGATGAGCCTTGCCCTTGAGAAATTAAATTTATTTAACTAATGAGGGGAGAGGAAAGGAAGTAATTATTAAATCTGAAACAAGAAAAGAAAAATACATGCTAATACATTAGCAACTTCATCTCATAGACGTCTCAATTTCACCTATAAAGTTAAATTATTAACATGATGATTTAAAGGTGACATTTTAATCTGGTGACAGTAGTGAGATTTAACCTCCATAAGGATTCTAAATGAATTGAAATCATATGTAGACGAAGGGGGAAAATCTGCGGAGCTTCTAACTTTCCGTTTCCTTCTTTCAACGCATAGCCATCCTTATCTACAGCTAAGGGCTGAGAAGCTGGCAAATGTGTGTGTGTGTGTGTGTGTGTGTGTGTGTGTGTGTGTGTGTAGGGTGGAGCTGCTATACTTTAAAAAAGATTTCTTTAGGTTTTAATTATGTATGAAGGGTGGGGTACATGAGTGTAGGTGTTGGATCCCCCTGGAGCCAGAGTTAAAGGCATTTGTGAGCCACTTGACATGAGTGCAGAGAACAAAGTGCAGGTGCAGTGCAAGGGTAGCAAGCACTCTTCATTGCTGAGCTCTCTCTCCAGTTCCTGCTGTGCTTCTTAATACAGACTATTAGAGACATGAGATACAAGCTGAGAGGACCTGTCCTTTAGAGAAAGGAGAGGATAATGGGGCTTGGGAAGGAGGTCTTCTAAAGAATGTGGGACTTAAGAAGAGTCTTGTAAAGTCAGGCAGTGATGGCACACGCCTTTAATCCCAGCACTCGGGAGGCAGAGGCAGGTGGATCTGTGAGTTGGAGGCCAGCCTGGTCTACAAGAGCTAGTTCCAGGACAGGCTCCAACGCTACAGAGAAACCCTGTCTCAAAAAAACAAAAAGAAGAAGAAGAAGAAGAAGAAGAAGAAGAAGAAGAAGAAGAAGAAGAAGAAGAAGAAGAAGAAGAAGAAGAAGAAGAAGAAGAAGAAGAAGAAGAAGAAGAAGAAGAAGAATTCTAGGATGGCATATGAAGCACCAAACTGGAAGGCTAGTGGTTGCTGCTTTGAGCAGTAAGAAATCAAGGAGGTAACCAATAGGGCCCTTGAAAATTAAGTGGAATGTTGACGAGACTGGTAAGCCCAGGTCCTGCAAAAACCAAAGTTTGGAAAAATATTCCAAATCCCTATTGGTAGGTTTTTTTTCCCCTTAGGGTTTCCGTCCAGTTTGCTTGTCTAAACAGAAATCCTTTTTAAAAAATTGTCCAGGCTGTGACTTGGACTGAATGAAGTCCTGAAAGCTCCATTCTTGGAAAGGGAGCTAATGAGGTCTTCATTCTTTTCTCATGTTTAGCATTTCTAGAATTGTCTGTCTAGTTTTGAGTATGTGTTGAAATTGAAATAAAAAATTTACTATCAATGAGAAGTTGTATGTCTTGTATTGTTTGTGTGCAATCCAGGTTGAGGAGGAAGAATCACACAAATACAAAATTACGGTCAAGGTGGAAAGATATATCTGGGCATGGTGGGACATACTTGTCCCAGCTACTTGGAAGACTGAAGGAGAAGAATGAAGGCATGAGAAGGATGAGTTCAGGAGGTTGAGGTAATCACAGGCAGCATAGAAAGACTCTAACAGAGAAAGAAAAGAAAGGGCTGGAGAGATGGCTAGGCAGTTAAGAGCACCAGAGGACCGGGGTTCAATTCCCAGCACCCACATGGCAGCTCACAACCATCTGTAAATCCACTTCCAGGGGATCTGACACCTTCACACCAATGCACATAAAATAAAGTTAAATAAATCATAAAATATTATTTTAAAAAAGAAAGGCATGTAAGAGGGAAAGGGAAGGAAGGCAGGAAGGGAGAAAGGGAGGGAGGGAGGGAGGGAGGGAGGAAGGGAGGGAGGGAGGAGAAAGAAAAGAGGGAGCAAAGAAAAAGGATCCTGCATTACGATACCTTTAAGGATTTTAGGAAATCTCAGGAAGATATAATTCCTTAATAGTGAAACTCCCCATATTGAGGGCCACGATTCCGTTCTGGATTCTGAAGGTGCTGAGGAATTGGTGATGGATTAGCAATCTAGAATGCTGAAGTACTCTGTTCTGAAGACAGAATGAAAGGGACAAAGACACACATTTAAAGAAAAAAAATCCTATATGCTCTGCTCTTGTCTGTCTAACCCATTGCTCCTCTCCCTCCCACTGACCTGCCCAGCACCCCCTGATCTCTTCCTTAACCAACACTTTCATCCCATCTCTCAACACAGTAAGTCTGCCACATGCACAGGGAGTGTTTCTCTCATACTCCCCACCCCCACTCCTCCCCACCTCCCCACCTCCCCACTCCCGCCTTAAGACACTCCTCCTAACCATTTGATACTTCTCTAGGCTACTCCTGCTTCTCTAGGCTACTCCTCAGTCAGCCTCCTGCTCCAGGTCTGGAGGCCTTGTTGTAGTTCTAGGTGTGTGTTTCTGACACACTGGTCTTGCTTCCCTCCAAAACACTCAGCTCCTTAAAGATGGACATATCACTTTTATACATATTTTCAGCCACTTGGTGTTTTGCATGTTAGGCACTCAAAGTTGGTTTATTTTAACATATGTGATAATACACCAGACACGATCCTAGGTTCCTGAAACCAAACATAAATTCAGTGTGTTTCTCAAGCTTAAGCATAGCAATTAATCCAGACAAAAACACAAGGAGTTCAACAAAATGGGATTTCCACATTTAGAGACAAGTTCAGGACGCCAAAGGGGCAATGAGGAAAAACACTTAATCCAAGGCAGAGGAAATGTCTCTGTGCTTTAAAAGCACCTGCTACTGTTCCAGAGGTTCTGAAGTTTGGGTCCTAACACCCATGTTGGATGGCTCACAATGACCTTTAACTAGGTTTGGAGAATCCGATGTTTTCTTCTGTCCTCTGTGGGCACTCACATGGAACACACTCACACATTTCAAACACACACTCACACACACAAAACAAAAATAAAAAAAAAAACACATATATTTTTAAAGAGCCTAGTAGAGACTTAGAACTGACTTCTAAACTGAATTACTAAGCAAAGGGAAGGATTTGGGAAAGAGGGAATGCCACAACTAAAAACATTAGACTGGAACAAAGGACGACTTGTTCTGTCAGGGTCTGAGAGAGCCCCTCCCCCCCCCAAGGAAAGACCAGCAGCCACATATGCAATAAACAAGAGCTCTTTATTAATTCCGACATGTTGGGGTGGACATGGTGACCCTGAGAGAAGCCCACAGGCTCTTTCTAAACGGGGTTAGGGAAATTCTAGGGAGGAGAGATTAGTCTGGGGATGGATTGGTAGCTTTAAACAAAGAGTGCATGGGTTGCTATAAGATCGGTTGGCTGCTCGTGGTTGGGGCGTTTCAGCTGCAGGTGGAAGAAAGCTATCTCTAGTTCTCTTCAGCTTGCACAAGGCTGTGGGAGCACCCTTGAATTGATTGCTCCTGGGTTGCGGCTTTCCCAAGAATCGAAACTAAGTCCTGGTCCCTGGCAGGGACCATTAGAAACCTGTCATGGCCCTGGTCTGACTCTCTGGCCCTCTCAGTTCAATAGTATTGAGATGACTGCAGAAGGTCTAGGGTTTAAAAAGAGAGGAAAGGAAGCAAGAGGTGAAGCTAGAAGAACACAGAATCTCAATTTTAAAGTGGAGTCACCTCTAGGAAGCTCATCGGTTGTACCGAGCACGAGAAGTTATCAACAAGTCTTAGGGAAAAAGATACCTTAAACACTAAGCCAGGCATGGTGGTGTACACCCGCGATCCGCACACTTGGGAAGTGGAGGCAGAAGAATGGGAAATTCAAGATCATCTCTGGTGGCATAGTGAGTTTGACACCAGCCTAGGCTACATGATACCTACCCTGTCTTAAAACAGCAAGAACCACAAAGACAAAAGAGCACACGCGCACACACACAAAGATAAACTGAACAAAATAGAAAATATTTTGAGAATGGTGGCATTGAAAGTGATAACAGGAGATTGTAAGGCTAGAAAATGGAGAAGTGAAGACAAGGTGTGGTAGCATGTGTGGGGGACGGGGACGACCGAGTGATAATAAGGGTCTGTTGCGGTTACAGATGTACGCCATTTACCCTTGGGTCCTGGCCCCGAAGGACTCGATCTCTTTGCTGAGAATTTGAAAGCTCGATAAAGAGACACAGCAGTGAAAGATGATAGAATCTGTGCTGCTTGCTGGAGACCCCAGATCCAGCCTTTCCTGAAGCAATGGCTTGTCAGCTTTCCTTCCAAGTCTCTGAACTCTGCCAATATTCTTTCAAACAAACATTTTTGGTCTACATTAATCAGATTTCATTTCCATGATTTATAACAATAGCAACCACCACAAAATGCCTGAATGGACATTGTCGCTAAAGCACATAGCGGTTGTGGGGAGAAGGAAAAGGCATCAGGATGGTAGGATGACCAGGATCGAGTAGCCATGGAAAATGAATAACCATTATATTTTAGTTATATTGGCTGAGGAAGTGGGGGTGCAATTCTGCAAACTAAAGAACAATAGAGAACGAACCAGTTGAGCCAATGTGAGAAATATGTTAGTTTCGGTGAGTTTACTTGGGACAGTTAGGATGATTAGTAGGTGGCTTCAATGAGGAGCCTGAAGCTTGCGGTGTAGTCTAGTGGTAGGGTGCTTGATTAGCATGAAGGAGACTCCCCGGGTTTAGTCTCTAGAGCCAAAATAAGATAAAATATAATATTTAAAAAGATGAATCCAGCGTTTAGAATAGACAGGTTTGACGCTACAGATTGGAAATTTCTTCCTC